ACTAATCAAGCATTGCTCATCTGATCTATTTCAAACTCGTTTGGAGCATAATATTATAATGAAAATCATGTGATCGATAAAACTCGAGTTCCATTGGGTTCGGCTCCAAACAGGGTCGAACTGAGTTCGGGCAAGCAGGATATCATCCCTACTGGAGATCCTCATTTAATGAAATAAATAGACTTTTCACGACAAAAATCATCATTTCAAATTTATCGGAAAATGAAATAATGTTGATACATCGCTTATTTGAAAATAAATACGTTATCTATTTCTGTGAAATTAGATCTCCGCATTTTAACTTTGAAACCCCCTAATAGCATTTTTACTATGTTAATAAGATTGACCGAATTTATTTTAAACCTTTATTACAAATTTATGGAAAATGAAATAAAGTGATGCATCGCTCATTTGAAAATAAATAAGTTATCTATTTCTATCAAAATTAGGTTTCCGCACATTAACTCTGAAACTCTCTATTGATATTATTGTATTTTCTGTAAGATGCATATGTTATATTTAATCATGCAGCAAAATGATACTATTTAATTTAAACTAAATTTAGCTTCTTTTAATTCATTATTTAAATGCAAATTCTGCTGTAGCATTTAATATATTCACTTTCAAAAAAGGTCCACACGTTCACTATTAGAAACTTAAATCATATAATGAATCGTTGCTAGGCTTCACGGCTATTTCTATTAAAGTGGAATCCCCAGAATTGAGCTTTTTATAGTTTCTTGATTTCAAACATTTGATTGTTCATTTTTACTATTGACAAGTTTTATTTTTAATTTAGTGAAAATAGGTTTGATATTTGAAACTTTTAATGAGGAATGTAAAAGTGTTAAGAAAAACCTAATGATGCTTGAAAAAAGGAGTTGTGATAAATCAAATAAAGTTCTTTCACAATTAATATCAAAAATTTATGAACTTATTTTGACACGAGTATGAAATAAAATTAACACGAATTTAATAATCTAAAGATGCTATAAATTACACAAATCACACAAATTGAAATACTATAGGAAAATACAGTACAGTTACTACGTATTTCCATTGCAATTGCGCCACAAGAACTGAGTAAATATGAATGCAATATTTGTCAATGAAATTCATGAAATGCAGGTTCCCGTGATGATCTGCGCAATCTTTGTTACACACATGCGCGCTTCTTTTTTTTTTGATTTCGCGCTTCTTTTTTTTTTCTGGGATGCGGCTTTTTAAAAATTAAAAAAATAATTCCGGCTAAAAATTATGAAAACAATTACGTATGTAATACAAGCCAAAGTTTGTAGATCACGACTAGTGTAGAATTGCCACCCAAAAAATTTCGAAATAAAATTTTGTGCTGTTAGGTTATGGTTAGGGTTTTGCTACTAAGTTAGGATTCGAAGATATTTCATGTACAAAAAATTTTGCAAATAAAATTTTTTACTAATGCGCAGAAGGTTCTTTAATAGGCTAAATTTTGAGTTATAATCGATTTTTATAAAACGAACGTTTGTTTTGAATTTTCATGATCGTGCTACGTTACACCTAACCTTGAAATTTGATTGGCCGTGAAATTTTTCAGAGTGGTGATTTTACCCCAGTTCTAGTGTTCCGAGCCGGTTGGAACCGGCAGTTTTAGTAGGCATAAAAATAGTATATCACTAAAAGTGCCCGAACTAAAAATTGTATGTATGATAATGTGGAAAACTCCACACTAGAAAAAGGCTTCACTTTGTATCTCCCGC